CAAAACTGCAGGGGAGAAGACAGCCTGGCCCAGTGCCGCTGGATCTGCTGCTGCCCAAAGCCCGAGCTCCCGGAGTCAGGTTATTTCCAGGGGATCTTCCCACAGAAGATCCCATGGGAATCAACCCATCCCTTGCAGTTAGAGAGAAATCCTTGAAAAGTGATGGGAGGAGGAACCAGGAGGCTGAGAAATCAGGACATGTTAAAGAGGAAAGTGGTGTTTGGCTGAGGGGTATGAAATCTCCCTGGCATGGGGTCTCCAGGGACGTCAGCTCTAAGCTTGGCAGGGGACGGGGGAAGACCGGGGTCATGGGGACACACCGCTGTGCCTGGAGCGGCGCAGCAGGCACCCAGGCACGGGCAGCGGGGTTTTGAGCCCACCTATGACATTTCGCACTAATCCTGCTTCCTTCAACTTGGCACCAGCGACCGAGTCGGGGTTGATGCATGTGCCAGATGATGTCCCCTCCCGGGGGTGCCACTCCCAGTCCCCCAGGCATGGCAGCCTCATGATCCACAGTGGGCCGTTCCCTGCAGCACCCACCCCAGCAGCACGGGGATAATGAGCTGAGACCCCTCGAACTCAGCCCACGCGGGCAGCTGAGCAGACCCGAGCTGGGGCCGCTGGGTTCATCACAGGAGGAAGGGCAAAGGGCTTTCTGTCTGTCCCTAACTGCGGGTGCAAGCCAGCGTCCCCACGTCCCTGATGGCTCCCAGCACACCCACTGCTGTGCTCGCCCAGGCTGGAAGCCCCTCCTGCAGCCCCCAGCCCAGCCCCAACCGGCAGTGCCACTGTGTGGGCTGCGCCCCGCATAGCATGGCCAGGACCCTCTGTGCCTCCCGCAGCCCCCCGAGCCCCACGGCCAGGGCCACGGCACCCCGAAACCACCCCGCGCCTCGCGCCCCCGCGCTTCCCCAGCCAGGGCACGGGGAGAGGTCTGAGGCTTCAAACCCCGGCGCGGGGACAGGGACAGCCACACTGGGAGCTTGGGTGCTCCCGTGCCCCACATCCCGGAGTGCTCCCCACCGGGAGATGGACGGGAGAGCTGGGGAAAGGCGATGTGGGGGGGGACAAAGGGACGGTGAATCACAGCCTGTGAGACATCCAGATGTGTTGGATGGGACGAAGCGGTGGCACCGGGCTGGGAGAGACGCGGGGAGCATCCCCCACCAGCAAGACCTCCTGGAAGGCGGCTTTCCCTCCGGAAGGCAGGCGTGGAGCCCCTTTGGCACGAAAGCAGGCAGCGTCGAGCTCAGCCCTCGGCACCAGCAATCCCATTTTTTCCCCTGTGAGCAGCCTCAAAACCCACACTGGAATTTTACAGCCCTGAGCTTATGTACCAGCGGGACCTGCAGCCTCTGGTAGCAGGGGAGGAGGAGGATGAGGAGGGCCAGGATGATGCTGCAGTGGCAGGGCCGGGCTGAAGGACCGTACGTACCGTTGTACACCAGCTCGGAGAATTTCAAGGCAAGCCCCTGCTTGATTTTCCGCACTTCCCGGTCCATGGTGAAGGCCTCGATATCTAAATGCGCATGGTATAGGATCGTTCCCGCTGGGGTCTCATAGATACCTAGCCATTTTTCCAGGCAGGGGGAAAAGCAGAAAAAGAGAGAGAAACGAATGAGACCAAAACTGTCAGCAAATGACAAAAAATAATGACTTGGCTGACAGAAGGAGCTGTGGTCGAGCGCATTCAGTCCCAGCTTGCTGTAAAATGCATCTGTCATTATATTCATGCTGGGGCCGAGACAGTCCACTCCGCACCTTGCGGAGAAAATTTCTAGATTCCCCTCTTTGAAGAGGCACTCTGACAAGGCTAAATGACAGGGTTTGGGAACCGATCCCCCCACCGATCCGTGCCCAACGGTCTGCGGCTGGAAACCGCGAATTAAAGGAACGACGCGGGGCACACGCACGGGGAGCGGAGGGCCTGAAATACCCTCCTCTCCCCTCGGCTGGGGAG